GTAAATACACAGGAATTTTCTCTCAGAGTCGTTCCCTATCTTAGACCCCCCCAGATCTGGGTTTAGAAGCCCCCACCACTAAGCTTTTCCCAAAAGCTCTAGTGAGTAACCAAACTTCTTTACCACAGACTGCTGGCTAAAAGGTACCCTTGACTCAAGAAAAATTCTCTTTAAACTCAGGCTTGACTGGATTTCTTCATATCCCACCGCTGGACACCAAATATCCCACTCTTATCTCCCTCTCCACTCTGACTTACAGACTGACTGACTCTCACTGACTGACCCTCTCTGCCTCTGCCTCTTTATTACATATCTCTCTGCTCTGCCTCTTAGCAACCTTAGCCTGCAACATGAATATGCATGACTACTTAACATAATAATGGTGAACTGTTTTCTTCATATCCCACCGCTGGACACCAAATATCCCACTCTTATCTCCCTCTCCACTCTGACTTACAGACTGACTGACTCTCACTGACTGACCCTCTCTGCCTCTGCCTCTTTATTACATATCTCTCTGCTCTGCCTCTTAGCAACCTTAGCCTGCAACATGAATATGCATGACTACTTAACATAATAATGGTGAACTGTCATAGACAGTGAGCTATTCTACACTGAAACAAAGTTTGGAAACGTTCCTTGTTAGGACCACAACTTCAGAATTTCCCTGTCAGCACTGTGGCCATGCTGCTGCTGGTGGGGTTCTAGAAGTTGCACTCCCAAAGAGTAACATTTAAACTCTGTACTGGATATTCAGAAGGATTTTCAATCATTCCTTCTAAAGCAAACTCTACTGGTACTCATCAGGGCTATGAAGCAAGAAGGAGCAAATGAGAAACAATAGGGTAGTAATGAGCCATGTTCAGGGCATCTGGAGATCCCTGAAAAATAGGATACACTTCAGGGGGACAACACATTTAATGGGTGACCACCACCACCGCCACCCTGAGATCAGCATTAGGAAGGAGTCGAAGAGGAAATGAGTGTAGAATATCCTGGAATCAGGTGTTCCTGGCCAGAACTCCGTAAGAGGAACCATCCCTATGTGCAAATGCTTTATAATAATAATATTAAAATGATAAGAGGAAACTGACTAAGGCTACGATTCTAATACGGACGCACATCGCGCACTTATCTGGGAGTAGAGTTTTTTTTAAAAAAAGTTCATGTAAACGTAGTTAAAACGGACCGCTATTGTTTACCTATTGTTATTCGCAAAACAAACAAACAAAAAATTAACTCGACATCCACCCCATCAGGGGGCGATCGAAACCCCAGGCTCCCGGAGGATGGCGAGAATGTTCGGCCGCTAAGCCTTTCATCTCCATGGCAACGTCTGTCACAAACGTTCTACCGGCCCCGCCCCTTCGCGGCGCCCGGGTCTGCAACCTCCGCGGTAACCATGTCCAAAAACCAGAAGCGGGCATGGCGAGGACTCCTTTTCCAGTCTTCCCCCTCGGCTGGAAAGTGGATTCCGCGACGCTGGTGCCCGCTCAGCCGCGCAGGCAGGACTGGAGGCTGACCAGCAGCGGAGTGGGGCTCAAGTACAGCCCCCCATTACCCTTCCCGCCCCCCTATGCACGAGTGAGCAAAGCTAATGGCCGTTCCTGGGCTGATCGATGCGATTCGGATTAGCGAGATGGATGTGATTCGGGAGCCGGGACAACGAGGCCCCATCGCGCTTTTTTTTTCTCCTCAAAAAGGCACGGGGCGGGGTATAAAGCCTAGGTCCTCCCAGTGCTTGCTAATCATCCCCTGCGTGTTTTTATTCATTGATTAGGAAAAGGAGAAGGTGGGAGCTGGTATATTTGTGAGAGGGCAGCAGGCATTTTCAAAAATAAGAGGGTGAGGGAATTGATTCAAGATAAATGGAAAGCTTGCCTGAGCAGTGGAGGTGGGTGGGTAGCAGGTAGGTGAGATTTTAGGGGGTTCACAGCGCCTGGCTATGCCGCATCTCAGGGCAGATGAAGCAGGTTGTCCTGTAAGTACCCTTGGGGCCTGTGGAAGATGGGTGATGTAACTTTTAGCTGGGTTGAAAGCTCACCTCCTCAGTGTGCCTCCTGGGAGAGCAATAAGCCCCTATCCCCTGGAGCATGTGCGGCTGATGGGATTATGTCTCCTGTCAATTTGGTTGATGGGATTATGTGTCCTGCCAGCCTGGTCCCAAAGGGCCACCAGGAGGGACTGGTAAACTAGAAAACCCTGGAGGATTACTGTAGTCAGAATCAACATGGTGGCATGTTGTTGTTATGTGGTTTCGACCCCCTGCAATGTCTGAGTTTTCTCCAAGCAGGTTAGTGCTGATGCCCAGAATCAAGGGGCTAGGTGAGTTTTCTGATGATGAATGCACATGCCAGTGGCACGTTGTGTCCTGTTTACATCGTTGCACCCACTTGTTTCCAGTTTCTGATCCATCCTTTTCAACCTTTTCCCATACCCCCTCCCCAGTCTACGATCCATGAGCCACTGCCCCCTGGCTCTGAGAAAGGATGCCGAGATGAGGTCATCCCCCGCCTGGCAACCACCTCCCAACTTGCGTACGGCCCAAAGACTCACGGGGGCCCGTTGGCTCATCCCCGCTACGCTGTTGCTGCTGCGCACTGGGACGTCCACTATATCAAAGATTTGAAAGAGAAGGTAAAATGGGTCTCTCGGAGTTGTGTGGCGAAGGGGTAGAGTGGGCGTGTCTGTGGCAGTCCTCTGGAGAGTTCCTCTTTTTCATAGGATAGCTCCTAAAATTCACCAACCAGCATAGGCACCGGTGGGACACTAATGGAGGGATGATAAAATAATAACTACAGAGTTGGAAGGGACCCTGTGGACCATTGAGTCCAGCCCATGTCAAGAAGGCCCTGTGTTGCTAAGCTATCCAGCATTTCTTTGTGGAAATGGTAGCCCCAAAAAATAACACTTCCCACCTGTGTGTTGGGAAGGCCTCTGGAAAGCAGGGTGGTGCCTTTGGTAGGGAGAGGATGGATGGGGTCTTTGTCTTCCAGAGATCGAGATCATGGCAGAGGGAAGACCAACGGGTCCTCCTTTCCTGAAAAGAGGAAGAGGAGCTGTAGGGAACTGGCCACCCTCCCGCTTTGACCAGAAGAACAGTTGCAGGAGTTCAGAATTAAGCGCTAAATGTTTCTTTTCTTCCTCCATCTGAAAACCTTTTAAGTCAGGGTGGACGAATCTCAGGCTTATGGGATCTACTTTGTTTGTAGTTGGGGAACCGAGTGACCTGCTAAGCAGAGCTTGGTTTGAAAGACACCGGCTGTACCTTCAAGAATATTCAAGAACACTTCTTAGGCTCTACAGCAACGAGTGCTTTACAATTCAGGAAGGATTCCCCACCCTTTTCCCCGGAATCTGTCCTCAACTCTCCAAGCTGTTTTTCTTCCTAATAGCTGAAGCTGAGAGAATGGAGGTTCCCACTCACCACAGGCAACCAGAAGAGTGAGATGAGGGAACGCTACCCCGGCTGGCCCAACCAGCCACAGGAGGCCACCTTTCACGCTGGACCTCAGCCATTCGCATTGGCTGCTCATCACACAGAAGGCGCGTCCAAGGTATCTAGGATGGCGGTGGAGATAACCCAGCACCACTTCTTTTTTCCCCTCATGATTTAGACAGGTTTCTGTATTCCAGCCTATATCCCTAAATTAAGGATGTTTCAGCTGGAAACACAACTTACATATAATGAAATATGACATTTTTCATGTGGAATATGACTTTTTTCTCCCAATGTTCATGGTATTCCATATTCATTTAATCAATCAATCAATCAATCATTCAATTTTTATACCCTCTGTTTACCAAATTGCTACTCTGGATGGTGTACAGAAAGTACAAATCATAAAAATAATAAAAACACATTCTAAAATACAAAGAGGAGACAAATCTAGAGATACACATTCCATCTATATGTGTACATGTTTGAGACACGAGATAAATCAGCTAAAATCAGGACTTGCTCCAAAAACTTGGTAGGCTTATTTGGGAGAAGTAACAGGAAACTGTTGCCTATATTCCCCACAATGATACTACTGTAGCACTGCTACTGAAAAGAGCCTTCTTACTGTAGCAGTGGGCTCTAATCTGTCAAAGGCCAGCTCCCAAGCTGGCATCTTTAGCAATAATTGGTAGACACCAGATTAAGACTTCCCTTTTCCAACAGGTATTCAATCCTGAATTTTTATTGTTGGTTTTGCCTTTTAGGTTTTAATTGCTAGCTCTTATCATGACGTTAATGTCTTCACATTTGAATATGTTCACAGCTTCATTCTGTTTCAGCTCATTCATTTCTTTTTGTTGCAAAATGTGCAATTAAACCAACCAACAAGCATTATTTGTAAATTGTCCTGAGTGCATTGCCAGATGGATGGTGTATAACACTTAAGATCCATCGGCAAGCTGGCAGGGCGTTTTGAGAAATTAAAACAGCAGCCCCCACACTAGAGTGGGCAGAGGAGGACAAAGTAAGCGCCAGGGGACTGAAGCCTTGCCACGTACCCAAGGGCGCTGCATGGGCATGCCAGGCCTGGTTGGAATGGGCTGTCTTCTTGGCTCTTTCTTCTGTAACCGAAGAGGGTTGGCTAAGAGGGGGAAGGCCTCCTCTTGCCGCATTAGCCTTTTCTCCTTTTCCTGTTGCAGTCCATGGTGGCCAGCACACGCAATGAAGCCCTGGAAGGGAGACCCTTCTACATCCGTGACAAGGCGGTTCTGCGGCTCAATGAGCCATATCTATCCATCACTAGCCAAGATTTCCGGCCCTTCACTCAGTAAGTAGCGTTTTTGTTATGCTCTACCTCATTTCATTTCACGCACACAAAAAACCCCTCTCAAAGTATACTAAAAAGCAATTTTCCCCCCTTGGTTCACAACAGAGATGGGGACTTGGACTATTTTTCTGAGTCATATTTCAAGTCCCTAAAGGATGGGCCTCCCTCCCTGCTGCCACTTCCGTCCGTCTTCAGAGACAGCAGACCTGGCTTCCCTTCCAGGAGCCCAACCTGCCACTGCTTGGCGGACAGGCCGGCCCATGTGTAGAGGCAGGGGCTGGTTCTGGGAAGGGAGGTCGTCCAGCTGCCTCTGCCCATGGACCGGCCTATCCGCTGGGCAGTGCATGCTCAGTCCTAGTCTTTGGGTCCAAGTCCTGAGTTCAAGCCTGGGCAAACCCTCAAAACTCAGACTTGAGGCTTGGGATTCAGGCCTGAAGACTTGCCAACATCCTTGGTTCACAAGAACTCTTAAATGCTTTTAAATCTTCTGTAAGGGTTTCTGCACACACACACAGTCAGCATCAGTCTCTACCCCAATGCAGAACCTAAGTTTAATCTTTCCCCATTTTTCCCAGGGCACATCCATCAGCTTTTCAATTGCACCTTTTTTTGTACATTCACGTTATTTTTTTTTAAATGCTGCAGGAGAGTATTGCCTTCGGGTCCCTCTTGGCAAATAGAGTGCTGGTCTAGATAGGCCAGTGGGTTTGATCCCACCGGACTCTTCTTATTTCCTGAAGAGAACTCTGTGGTTTGGCCTTCGAGGCTAACCTGTTTATCACCTGCAGGCCGTTTCCGCACTGAAGCTTGGCTTCCAGCATCTTTTCTCTTGCCCTCTGCAGTACACAGGGTTGTCACAAGGGTTGGGCAATTGGGACTGTGCCCCAGGGCACTAAATTTAATTGGTGCAGCCTTCTCTCCCCCCCCCTCCACAACTGTCCAAACTAGCTAGGCAGCCTGGTCTAGCTTCAGAGGGCAAGACAGGGGGTGAACCAGGCTTTTCCAAGATATGAATTTGGTCCCTTTCTATAGAAACCAAGAAAACTGCTTCTAGCCCTGCTCTCTCTCTTTCTCCATAGGAAGGAACGACAGGGCTATGTCTGGGGGCCTGGATTAAAGGAGAACCTCCAGGGCCAGGATTCCTACCCTCTGATCCGTGAGCCTGGGCCAATGCGGGACCTCGTTCAGTTTCCTCTTGCCACCCGAGTGCCTCGCCTTGCCCCAATCGCCGCTGCGGTTCCCCATCATGGGCTTCTTCCTTTGAGTAAAGAATCCTACCAGCCTCCGCATGATCACAAGCGCACCTGGGACCGCTTTTGCCCTGTGGAACAGCCACCCACTGCCTCCTATCGGGTGCCTGTGGTAGAGATCATGTGCATCCCGCACATGTATGAGACAGAGTACAAGTGCTATGGAAGTGGGAAACCCAAGCCAGTATGATGGACCCAGCACAACCATTCAACAAGCATTTTAGTTTATTCCTTTCACCCACTCAAGGAAAACAGAGCTGCAGCTATTTATCTTTATTTGCCTTGGTGTTCATTTTGCTGAACTGACCTCCCCTCTGTCTACAATCTGATCTTTCCAATGGGTGGGCAATTGGGGGGGGCAGGAGTCAGAATTACAGAATAATTGAGTTAGAAGGAGTCTATAAAGCCGTCAAGTCCAACCCCTTGCTTGATGCAGGAATCCAAATCAAAGCAGATCTGTCAGGTGATTATGTAAGTTTTTCTTGAATGCCTCCAGTGTTGGAGCACTCTCCACCTCTCCAAGTAACTGGTTCCATTGTCATACTGCTCTAACAGTTAGACCTTTGCCTGATATTCAACCTACATTTGGCTTCCTGTAGTTTGAGCCCATTATTATGCGTCTTATACTCTGGGTGACTGCCCCTCCTCTGTATGACTACCTTTCAAATATTTGAAAAAGTGCTATAGATCTCTACTCTGTCTTCTTTTCTCAAGGTTAAACATACCCATTTCTTTTGGTTTTTCCTCATAGGGCTTGGTTTCCAGTCTCCTGATCATCCTTGTTGCCCTCCTCTGAACTTGCTCCAATTTGTTGGCATCCTTCTTAAAGTGCGGTGTCAAGAAATGGACACAGTACTCTAGTTGAGGCCCAACCAGTGCTGAATACAGAGGGACTCATGTCCCTGGACTGCAGCTCCCATGATCTCTGGTGGCTAAAGGGAATGGGAGTTACAGTCCAACAGCATCTGGAGTAGTTGAAGTTGCTGATCCCAGGTTTAGAAGCATTTAGAAAAAGGCATACAGTATTTTGGATTTTGCCCTGCAAGAACTTATGCCAGATTCAACAGTACTGTATCTGGGCCAGCATCCTGCTAACAAATGTGGAATGCAACTACTGTTCCAGCATAGTGCTCCACATGCGCTAGTGTGTCTCTAGCATATAACTGCACAAGTTGGAGAGCAGCCCATTCAAAGCAATATGGCTTCTGCTTGTGGAGGGGTGTCTTGAATCTCACACAAACTGTGGGAAAGTGTAGTCACATGCTCAGCAGAACACTGCATGCACAGTAAAAACAAACTGGATATTGACTCTAGTTAGAAACCTTCTCTGGCCTTGTTATTTGCAGTTTTAGCTTCAGGACTGTATAGACAGGTCAGACCAAGAAGATTGCAAGCCTGGTACATTTATCTGAAAGCAAGGCCCATTGAACTCATTGGGGATTGCTTATGAGTGAATTCAGATAGAAGAAATCTGCAAGAATGAATTTAGTAAGCAGTAGAGAATCACAAATGGAGATACAAGAGTTTAATTCGGTCAGAGCCATCCTATCAAGGTCTTAAGGAGTATAAGAAACACTGCGGTGCACAATGTGTGTTTGGATTTCAATCTGTAAAATGGAAGGTGCTTGCATTGTTGGAACTACAGATAGATGGGTCACAATAAAGCAAGAGAATTTGATTGACTGGAGAGAGAGTGTGGTGCAGTGGTTAATGCAGAGTTGGGATTTGGGAGATCTTAGTTCACGTCCACATTGACTTTGATGACAACTTACTGAGAATTTTGTGTCAGACGCATGGCAGCTTACATAACTGAAAACACAATATTAAAAGCTAAAAAAGTAAATTATTCAAATATTGAAGAATTAATAATATTACATTTTAAAAAGTTAGGAAAACTAATTTAGAAGCAGCAAAATATAGACTATCCATGGATTAATTTTCCCTAATGTGGTCAAATGAGACCTCAGGGGAAAATTAACACATTGGCCTTCCCACAACAGGTTTTCCTCAGAGAGACAGACTCCTCAGCATTCAGACATATGAATATTGTATATTTACCTCCTAGTGACTGATCACAAAAATAAAGCACATTTAATACAAGATGCACTGTTAAGGGGGAAAGAAACATGCTAGGGCTAACAGGCATATTTCAGTACTGGTTGGTGTGTGCGTTCTCGTGCGTTCATGCGTGCATGTGTGGGTGTGCATAATACAGTTTCTCCACCCTTGTTTCAGGAGAAGACACACGGCGTTTCATCTGGGTTTACTGTCCCAGGGCAATGCAAATGCAAAGTGAGTGAGGAAAATACCTCACCATAGTAGTGAGATGAGAAGAGCCACTCATCAGTGCACTGAATGAAGCCAATTTCATGGCGAGATCACCAATTTCATGTATCGGTCAATTTCATGGCGAGATCACCTGGTGCTTTTCTGAGCTTCCCTGGTTGGGCCCAGTCCAGTGTCAATGAACAGCATCCAGACAGCAACCCAGGTGGGATGTAACAAAGGTGGCAGCGGATTTCTCGCCTAGCAACACACCTGCCGTAAGCTCACATCCAGCGACCTTGGATGAGAAGTGGAAGACCCAAGGTCTATGGAAAATCTTTTGCTATTTCATTTGATGCTACAGCCAAACAAGGAAGCTGCCTGCGGATCTGGAAATGCAGAAGAACCTTCACATCTGAGCTTCCTTCTCCCACCTATGGATTAATCCATATTTTAGGCTTAGAACAGGCTTTAAGGCAGCGATGCCCTTGAGCACCTCAAGCAAGAATGAAGGGAAGAATGTCCATGAGCCTGTGCAGAGTGCCTTGGCTTTTCAGTGAAAAGGATTCCTATTCCTTCATTTTGGATGAAGAGGAAGGTATTTTAGGGCAAACGATACTTTCCCCTAGGAAGCCTTGAGTTTGAAAACAAGGTTCCACTGCTATCAAGGAATTCCTTTCAGATGGAAGGGACATTGTGTTATGAGATAGCTGCTTTGGTTGGGCTTCATTTCCCCATTTAATCACAAATTTGGACCGGGCTGATGTTTGTATAACTGTCGTGACAACAATTGGATTACAGCTCCCATCATCAATAGCCAGCACATCCAATGGTGAAGGATAATGGGAGTTGTAGTCTAACCACATTTGGAGGGCCACGCATTCGCGACCCTTTGACTGGATGATTTGGGGGTCAGTCCCTCAGATGGGATCTGCCTTTTGGAGCTGTTGTGATTGTGAAATACTTTAGAAGGCAAATGATAAAGCATGTAGGCTGTTTTGACTTCTGTGGAGAAGTGTTGGCATCTGAACATAATGAAGGACCAATGTAACACTGCCCTGGCCCTTCAAGATTCCCAGCTCTGGAGGAAGTGGAACAAAATTTATCCTAAGGGTAGGAATGGAAACCAGCGTTTCCAGCGAGGGCAGTGAATAGAATCCTTTGAAGCGGTAGCCTGCTTGGCCATCCGATATGACACCCCCCCTCACTTTGTTTGTCCTTGAGGTGCCTGACTGTTGTGTAGAGGGAGGGAGGAGGATGCACATAAAAGAAGACATCTGGGAGGAGTAGGGACATCATTCTCCCTCACAGCCCAGGAGACAACATGAAGCTGCTACAGGTATGTACAAATGAAAGCAGGAGCCGCTGCATGAGGAGAACGTGGCATACATAGTTCTCACATGTTTACTGCTGAAGGCGAACCTGGGAGGCTAGCGTGAGCTATCCGGGCATATGCCTTGCAAGATAGATTATGGGGGCAGAGCGAGAATTTATGGTTGGAAATGGCAAGGAAGCTGATTTTGGTTAAGCAGTCAAAGAAACCGCGTAGTGGGAATTGTGGCCAAGACTGGTCTGGAAGGTGGCGGTTTATTTAAGCTGGAATTATTTAAGCAAGAGGCTGGACAGCTAGCTATCAGATGTCGGGGGAGCCATGCTACAGTCCCCAGATTTCTGCAGGGGGTAGACTAGCTTACGTTCAATATTATTTTCAGCTCTATCCTTATGATGTTAAATCCAAAATCCCCAGGCAGGACTACCTTTATTAAATCCAGGCTTTCAAGTTCTCCAGAACTCCTTATAAGACTAGACCGTAAAAAAATATTTGAGGGGGAGGAGACAGGTAGGAAAGCAAAGCGAGGAAGTCCCAAAATCGGGCTCAATGTTTTAACAATGAGATATACAGTTAAACTAAGCCACAAGACAATTTGGGCTTGATGAGTCAGCGGTGTGATTTTTTAAGTGCTTCAAAGCAGAAGAAAAGCAACAATAGAGAACAGAGACTGCAACCTTAACACCCATTTCTTTGAACATAACATCACACTGAATTTAGTGGGGTCAGTGCTGAGTAAGAGTGTCTGGAATTGGGCGATGGACACCTTTATGGAGAAAATATCTTACAACCGCTGGAAGCCAAAGGTGAGCATTTTCAGATTCAATACACGCAGAACAGGATCTAAGAAAATGGTGCCGCGTTTATCTGTTTGACACCCTTCATTTTTGCACAGCAAACCTGCAATGCTGTACAATGAATGAAATATGAGATAATTTTCCTCATTCTTGACACTGAGCAGCTGGCCCCCAGGCTGAATGCATGGATCTCCAACTCTCCAATAAATTAAAGGGAATTCCCTATCTTATTAAATACTTGTAATTAATTATTAAATTTAATTAATTATTAAATTGATAAATTTAATTATTAAATACTTTTAATAAAATGAATTATTCACTCCCACCACCAAACCTTCAGGGACCTGAATAGCCCAGGAGATCGGGCATTGACATTAGCCTCTCCCAATTTTCCTTTCTTCCTAACATTCCAGATTGCAAAATTCATCATCTCCATCTGTAGGAACAAACATTCCCCCATTCCTGAAATGTACAAAATGGCTACAGTGATGAGCTTTCTTACAAGATCGCCTCCAGCCATCCAAAGAATACATTGAATGCATTAAAAGTCATGAAGCAAACACTTATGATGTCAGCACCTGACTGATATCTGGTATTTAGTTGCTACTCTTTTGACACTCCCCTCTTCCATGTCTAAAACCTTGATCATTGTTGCTTTTGGCTATAATAAATAACATATGATTTCTAACTTGCAGAGTCTGTGTATGGGTGAAAAACCACTTTGCACAGTAAAATTTGATGTTCTTCCTTGTGTTTTGTGCCAGCAAATTGATAGTAAAATAATCAATTGTGTTGATTTCTAACTTGCAGAGTCTGTGTATGGATGAAAAACCACTTTGTATAGTAAAATTTGATGTTCTTCCTTATGTGTTTTGTGACAGCAAATTGACAGTAAAATAATCAATTGTGTTTTGGTTAAAACATTAAATAACTTTTACTGCATGTAAGTAAAATATAACATAACTCATAGTGCTTAGGCATTTGGTATTTGTCATACATGTTCTTGACTTCTTGACAGACGTATTTTTCTCTTGAGTAAATAACTCTTTCATCGTAATATCATTACATTTGTAAGTCCTATCTGACCCTAGCAAATTGTGTCTGTTACATCTTTAACTTTGTCAGCCCTACCAGATAACTATTACATATTGGAGTCCCTGTCACAGGTTGGGCCCTGTCTGTGTCTACTACATGTTTGTCTCGGTCTGACAGCCTTCTGACACCTGCCTTATATATCTGCCTATCTGACTCCAGACACATTCTGATTGGCCAGAATGCTATGCTATGCAAATACATTCATAGCAAACACATTTAAATGCTATGCTATGCAAATACAACATTCTGTTCTTTCATAGCAAGCACATTTAAACATGCATATATACATACATACCATTTTCCATGTATAAGACTACACTTTTGTCTAAAATTTTTAGACGAAAAATTGAGGGTTGTTTTATACACGGAAGTAAGCTGAGGAGAGTAGAAGTGGAGGGGAAAGCAGGGATCAAA